GGAGCTCTTATCAGAGCTCATTGACTCCCCGATCAGCCAACAAACTTCCTGCGATCCGGAGCTCTTATCAGAGCTTATTGACTGCCCGATCAGCCGACAAACTTCCTGCGATCGGGAGCTCTTATCAGAGCTTATTGACTCCCCGATCAGCCAACAAACTTCCTGCGATCCGGAGCTCTTATCAGAGCTTATTGACTCCCCGATCAGCCAACAAACTTCCTGCGATCTGGAGCTCTTATCAGAGCTTATTAACTCCCCGATCAGCCAAAAAACTTCCTCTGATTTGGAGCTCTTATCAGAGCTCATTGACTCCCCGATCAGCCAACAAACTTCCTCCGATCGGGAGCTCTTATCAGAGCTCATTGACTCCCTGATCAGCCAACAAACTTCCTGCGATCCGGAGCACTTATCAGAGCTCACTGTCTCCCCGATCAGCCAACAAACTTCCTGCGATCCGGAGCTCTTCTCAGAGCTTATTGACTCCCCGATCAGCCAACAAACTTCCTCCGATTTGGAGCTCTTATCAGAGCTCATTGACTCCCCGATCGACCAACAAACTTCCTGCGATCGGGACCTCTTAACAGAGCTTATTGACTCCACGATCGGGCGACAAACTTCCAACGATCGCGAGCTCTTATCAGAACTCACTGATTCCCGAATCGACCGACAAACTTCCTGTGATCGGGAGCTCTTATTAGAGCTCATTGACTCTCCGATCGAGTAACAAACATCCAGCGGTCTGGAGCACTTATCAGATGTCATATACTCCGCGATCGAGAAAGAAACATCCTGCGATCGAAAGCTCTTATCAAAGCTCATTTATTCCCGAATCGACCAACAAACTTATTGTGATCGGGAGTTCTTATCTGAAATCATTGACTCCCCGATCGACTAACAACCTTCCTGCGGTTCAATGTCTTTCACGCTCTGCTACGAGGAACTGTAGCTGTCCTCAAACTGTGGTGTCAACCTTTTTTTCTTGAATCTGCTGAACAGGAGACGTAGGTCTTTAAATGTATTCCATAGCAGAAGATATTTATCTTTCCTCTCTTCAGTGTGGGAGCCACATAATATGTGCACATATTCTTGTTGAGGTCCATGCACAGCATGCCTTCCACTGTACCCTCGGCAAAGCTTCCATCAACAGCTTATGTGCTCCAACTCTGCGGGTGAATGACTTACTTTCAAGTTACGTGATTGTTATTTGCAGCTGTAAGGACCAGGTTTTGTGAATATATCTTCTCTACCACTTTCTTGAAATTTTTTGGCTATTACAGCTCGAAAGTTTGACGCAATGTCGAATCCAAACAAATCATAACATCCTGAAACTCGTCAGGGTATCTCCACAATTTCTTTGCCTTTGTATATAAAGCAAGATCTACGGTAAAATATTTTTCGAGTGAACAACGTCTGCCATTTATTCTTTTCAGCATTCTTGACTGCAACTTGCAAAATCACCTTTTTGCTCGGTTCCCTTAACAACCATTGCCATGGTAAAAGTTAGCCAATTAGTCGAAATTATCCCACTTTAAGTACCTGGCAAAGTAACCTCACTTCTCCACTTTTTATTTCATAAATTTTATTTTTTGCGCCGTACTTGAACATTGGCAATTCCAAAAGCATTTCACTGCCCCTAATAGCAAGTCACTGACCCCTTATTTTTGACTACGGCTGACGTAGCGATGATCTCTGGGTATCAGCCTATCATAATCCGATGTCAAATCTTTTGTTTAGTAGGGGTACTGCAAGGTAGACTTTTTTCTGGCTTCTTGTTGTGGTCTGATATGATGAGTGCTGTGTTAATCTGAAGGGGAACACAGTCAGCGAGACTCAAAAAGATTGACGTCACTATTCATAATGTATATGACAACGATCCTTCGCAGTAAAGCACTATTTGAGCAATAGTGCAAATCAGACCTGAAAAAAATTTCAGGCCTGTACGGGATTCGAACCACTGACCTCTGCGATACTAGTGCAGCGCTCTACCAATTGAGCTAACAAGCCAACTGGGAGCAGGCCATCAAATTAATTCGATATAAACCCGTAGATGATAAATCAAACAACAACAAACATATGAAACATATGTGTGAACTGCGGTTATGAGACGTATATGAGAACGATCCTTCGCAGTAAAGCACTATTTGAGCACTATTCATAATGTCGCAACATTTTCATTCGCTAAAAGTTGCATGTGTTTAAGTTGTTATTATATCCCTTTATTTAGCATTCAGAGTGACAATTCAGAGGGTTCAACAGATAGCAGCTTCAAAACATACAGTGAAGCCAGCTGTTCGCCTCTTGGAGACTCATGTGCTGAAGGGGACGGTACAACCTACAGAGACTCAGACTCAGTCCCAGGACCAACTGTTTTTGCAGAAAAGGGTTCTGATCTGTTTGCACCAGTAATTGTTGACGCTGATTCGCCAGATGAACCTGTTCTACCCCAAGTAAAGGCAATTTTATTTCCCATTGCAGTGTCACTGATATTCCGATTCAACATTTTCATAATTGCGATTTATTCACGAATCGCAGCCTTTTTTTTTTTTAAATCTAAATCGCATCATTTTCTCAGTCATTGGGAAAGCTTTATTAAAACACCATAACCAATAAGATTTCAAGGCTTCTTCAAAATTTCCGATCTCATTGCTGGAAACTTAATGAAAGACTACTTTTGCAACTTTTTACAAACCAACTCAGTACTGGATCAATGATGTATTTGTACAGCCAAACAAATTCTGAATTTTAGCCATTTCATTTTGCTATTTCAAAATGCATGTAATAAAGTGGTAATGGAACTACATGTCTGCAATTTTGTTTTGAAATTATACTTGTGATTTCAAGTCAAACTCGCGCCGCACGCTCGTTTGATTTAGAAATCACGCGTGTGAGACCAAATTGCACTCCACACAGTTCCACTTGTCATGTCATTAGTTGATTTATATGAAAAAAGGTTTAAGACAAAGCCCTTGTTCTTCAGCTCCAACAGGACTCTTCATTCCAGCACAATGTTCTGTGGCAATTCGAAGATATCCAGATGCTTGTAGGATCCAACCTGCCCATATTTGGAGGTGGTAAATACCCTGCAGTCAGTTTGAGACTTAGGTAAATATAAAACTCTTCATAGTATGTTTACAACAAAAAGATATTAGATTTGAAATGTGTTATTTCAGAAGAGTAACTTCAAAATCACTCAATAAAGAGATATTTGAAGATTGAAGCTTTTAATTTGCCTCTAAATCATACCAATGAGGCGAACAAGTTATTAAATAAATGCAAAAGTTATAGATACTCTCAGACCGCTAATAGCATCAAAGGCTGAACGAGGCGGTGGAGTAAGGGATGTTCATTTACGAGGAAAATAAAAAAAAAATTACCATGAGTGAAGATTACCGAAACTAGACACTCCGCAAAACAAGCATCTACTTTAACAACGAAAGAAAACTGAAAACAATAGAAACTAAAATTATACCCTATGAACAATAACTTGTAACTTACTTTTTTAGGCAAATGAGAGACTTCTCTCTCTAGGGTATAGAGAAGTATTTGCTTATTGTTATTATGGAATTTGCATATACTAAGCGTTCTATTACAGTAAGGAGTATCATTCCAAATCGCTACGTCAGTCCGTGGAAAATGTTTTTGTCATTCACTGAGTTCTGGTAGCGTGACCATAGCGGAAGGATTTGTGTGACGATGGTCTGGTGTTATTGTAATTTTCAACTTCAAATATTGCATTTTTAGTGTTCTGGTTTGTTCGCTCAACCCCGGTTATCAGTTCATATTCCGAGTCACCTTGTATGGAAATGGATTGCGCCTACTGTTGCGGAGCTGAAAAAAAGCTCTAAATATCCAAACGTTCCGGATTTAATGAAATTTAATTAAACAGTTGTTCCAATAACACGCGTTGGATGCGATCTTGGTTTTGGCCAACAAGGCGCGTATTTACCATCTCATATCCAACGTGCGATCCTGGAATAATAGACCATTTTACAGTTGTGTATTTAGTTGCCAAGCCTTTGATTTGAAGTGAGGCTGAGGGTGACATTGTTGTGATAGAGACCAGTATCTAGTTAGCATGATAACAAAGAAATTTGCATTTGAAAAGCAGCAATATCTGTATCATAACAAGGTCACCCTTAGCGTCACTCCTGTTCAAAGGCTTGGCCACCAAGCCCACAACTGTAAAAAGGACTATTAAGGAATGGAATTCCTCTCCTAGAGCACNAACACTCGATATAGCAAGTTAAATCTAAGGTGCCCGACATATAAGAATGTAGCTGAGGGCGGCCGAAGTTTTACCGTGTGTTCAATTAATGAATGGAATTCCTCTCCTAAAGCACTTAGAGGATCTAAAGCATCATTAAAAAAGGACATCCTAAGTAAATAGGAAGTTGATTTAATGTTTTCCAAATCATGTGATTATAGATATCTATGTGTTTCAACACACTAGGCATTCGCCATTCTAAGTTTTCCATATGACTTTTAGGTCTCTGCAACCTCCATCTATAGTAGCTTATAGATTGTATAATTAACAATTATTCCACGAGTGCGCGTTGGATATGAGATGATAGATAGCCAACGAGGCGCGTAGCGCCGAGTTGGCTATAATCATCTCATATCCAACAAGCGCGAGTGGAATAATTGTTTTATTAAAAACGTTAAATTGAATTATTAAATTTTATTAAATTCTTAGCTCCCTTTTAATTTTAAGCTGACACGTACGCTTACCATATTTGTAGATTATGGTATATTGGCTGATATACCATAATGGCTAAGCCAATCAAAAGTCTTGAATTGCATTATCCAATGATCTAGTTTTTAATAATGTTAATTACCAGATTTTGTCATGATGTGATAACCAGGTTCTTGATCTAAGTATTATCATTGACAAGCTGACTGTCTAGTTATTTTTGTTGTTATTCAGAGAGTGTGGTAACCCCATCAATGTGCTAACAGGGTTGGATTACTGGCTGGATAACCTGATGTGTAATGTTCCAGAGGTAGCCATGTGTTATCATCTAGATGGGATCGTTCAGGTAAGTCATGGCAGTGTTGTAAAATTGGCCAGTCATGGCATACACTTGGGAGATCGATAAGGGATCGTGTAGTACTGATTATGCGTGCCTCTCACCTGAGATAGCCTAAGTTTGGCTTTCTGGGGCTGGCCTTTGCTGCGAGCGGAGCGGCTGTCTTTCACTTTGTGTCACGAGCCGCAAAACCCGCGCGTTTCAGGGCTGCGAGAGGTCTGGGAAGGGTATAGCACGCGTCACAACCCTCGCACAACACGGCGGTCAAATGTGCGAACATTTGACCGCTGTGTTGTGAAAAAATTGAGTGTCTTAAGAAGCGGCCCGACGTAGTGCTCCTTTTAAATTTTGCGCGGGAAATTGGCGCACGGCTGGCCAGAATTGATCCACTTGCGCATGCTCAACGTTTGGCAGCTGTATTCTCTCGCACGCCTCACAGGTCTCTCGCACGCACGTTTGACTCGCTGGCTTGAATCTGGTGGGTTTCGCTTCTCGTGCCGTAGCGATAATTAGAGTTTGCTCGCAGGTTGAATTGGTAGTTAAGATTTTTCTCATTGGTTTAACTCAGGGATCTCTGGCCTTTATTCTTTCCAAAAAATCAATACTCAAACTCTGATTCGACCAGGGACGAATGGACGAAGAGTCACCGCTAACAAGTGGCAATTATTTCCTGATAAACTTATCCTGATGAACTTATCATACTTTTAAAGGAAATAAATGTTCTGCGTTAATAATGACCTTAAAATAGTATTTTCATGAGCTCTTAAAATCCATATGATGCATGATCCTCGCAGTAGAGAGCGCTATTTATGCAATAGCGAAAATCAGACCTGAAAAAAATCAGGCCTGTACGGGATTCGAACCACTGACCTCTGCGATACTAGTGCAGCGCTCTACCAATTGAGCTTGAACTTCATATATTCATTGTATCTGATTTATCATCACGGGTTTATTACGAATCAACTTAACGGCCTGCTCCCAGTTGGCTTGTTAGCTCAATTGGTAGAGCGCTGCACTAGTATCGCAGAGGTCAGTGGTTCGAATCCCGTACAGGCCTGATTTTTTTCAGGTCTGATTTTCGCTATTGCATAAATAGCGCTCTCTACTGCGAGGATCGTGCATCATACGTATCTAATACCGCAGTTCAAAATATATGAACTTCATATATTCATTGTATCTGATTTATCATCACGGGTTTATTACGAATCAACTTAACGGCCTGCTCCCAGTTGGCTTGTTAGCTCAATTGGTAGAGCGCTGCACTAGTATCGCAGAGGTCAGTGGTTCGAATCCCGTACAGGCCTGATTTTTTTCAGGTCTGATTTTCGCTATTGCATAAATAGCGCTCTCTACTGCGAGGATCGTGCATCATACGTATCTAATACCGCAGTTCAAAATATGTGAACTTCATATATTCATTGTATCTTAAAATCCAGTTTTGTTGTTACCTTAGTGTGGAACTTCTTCAAGTGATACTTCCTCTCTAGGCACCAAAAACGTACATGAAAATAACACTGCCAAATTTTAGCTTCAACAAGTAACAGAATTTTATTGGTTTCACTCTGCAGTACTACGATCTTTATAAAACAGAGGAGTTACCAAACTTGGAAGAGAGTAATTTTTCTCCAAAGGTAATGTCGTCCAGTTTGCTCCCTTTACTCTTTTAAACTTGCCACTACCTATGAATCTGAACGGTGTCTTGGGGTGTATGGGTTTGTTCAATACAGGAAGTACTCATTTCATCTCTATCTTATAACATTATTGTGTCAATCACAAAATGCCCGAAGATGTGATTCTTAGCTGCCATTGTGGGAGACACGGTAGCCTAAAGGTGAGTGCGATGGTCTTTGGGTCGAGAGAACTGGGTTCGAAACCTGACTGGATCAATGTGTTGTGTTTTGAGGAAAGTAGTTAACTCTCACGGTACCTCTCTTCAGCCACAGCCCAGTCGTATAAAGGCGGATAACGCTATTCAACTGATAAATCGTTATCCAATGGATAAGTGATGGCGAAACGTACAGTGCTATCCACCGGATAGCGTTATCCAACCTTCGAACAACTGGGGCCTGATGAAAAAATACTGGGTGAGGGGGGGGGGAGTGTGTGACCTTGAACTAGCATCCCATCAAGGGGGGGTAGTGATACTCCTAGGTGCTTTATGTTAAGGAAACCGGGATAAGTTCCGGGTGGGTGGAGCACTTGGTTAGAGTGTAGTCTTTACCTGGCTGTTTCAAGTCCAAACTGTCTGATTTCATTTGTCCGATTACACGCTTTTGTAATCGAACAGACTAAATCGGATAGTTGAGCAGCCAGTGAAAATTAAGAACTTAAATCCGTCAGTCCGGCAATAGAACTCAGCTACCTAGCTAGCCGATGGTCACAAAAGGTTCTAGATTAAGAAGTCGCATCCGTCTGATAGAGCTGTCCCCTGAATGAAGGTCTGTGTACATGAAATATGGGAAGACTCAAGTTGGTGTCCGCTTGATTCAAGATGCACCAAGTTGCGTGAGTTTCGTGGAGCCTAAACCGCCACCCAACCTATTTCCCTCTCCTAGCCACATTTGCTGGGACTCGTACTGCCTCCCTCTGCCAAGATGGCAAGATGGCAAGATGGCATAGACACACTGAAATGGGGAGAGGGGCGAAAGAACATCACAGACGTTGTTGTGGAGAATTGTCTCCGTTAATTCTGTCTGGGAGTGTAGCTGCTTTTTTTGCATGAGATTGAGTATATATTTGAAGTGTTCTGTATCGTAACTCTGCCTTCTTTCCAACCTTAGGTCGTGAAAGACGTAGCACAAAATATCCTTTCTTTCATGAAGGCGAACTGCACCCGCGAAGGACACACCTATTGGCTTTTTAAGGGTATTGTTTTTAACTTTGCTTAGTGAACCCTTTACATCCTATCATTAGAATGCATATTCTCCATAATTTTCTCCATACATTTCCTAAGATGCTGACTAGGAGAATTTGTGTATTTATCTGTGGCTGCTTTAGGTAGTGATCATTTCCTTTATTCTCATGAACTACATGTTTGATGCAGAGGTGATATTGTTAGCAGAAACTAGACGCTTGTCACTCTTCGGGGTCAGAGAGTTTAGACAGTTATATTCAGTTTCGGAGAAAATGGACAGGATCTATTTTTTGGCCAATCTATATGGAAATGAAAATAAAAATCCATTGTGAGAAAAGCCGAGGATACAGAAAAGTCCTAGATCGTTTGTTTCACAATTTAGTCACTTCCGATGTGATCAACGTGGAATGTGATTCCATCATGAGACACAATGTCAATACTTTATTGGTAATTGTTTTTATTTCATCTCTAGATAAAGATATATTACCCAGCTGTCGCACGATGGGGAAAGGCTTGTCGATCTTGGGCCCGGGTCGTATTAGAGCTTTTTTTGTTTGTTTAAGTGAAAAATCGGTCAACAAGTTGCATAAAATGAGTGCGATCCCAGTTTTAGAAACTGGCAAAATTTTTGCAAATCGTCTAATTTTCGCTAATCGTCAGAGAACCCGATGTCCTGCCTTGGAGGCCTCCAAATTTTGGCAAAACGGTCATCTTTTTTTTAACCATTTAGCTCTCACGATCCACAAGATCATATGTTTGGATAAAATTTCATCGGGAAAAAAATATTTTAGTCTGCTCGTCTAGTTTGGCGTGCGATAGCAGGGTTTCCTCGTCCCTCTGAGCCTTTTCTTTCTAGGGAAAAGAATTTGAGCGCCGCTTTTATTTAAATGTTTGTGACTCGTACCCTGGGTCCGGTTATACTGGCAGCAATTCAGAGAACAGGTGGCTTGAACGAGGAATTTTCCTTCCGTTGCAGGTATTGAAGCCAGTAAAAGTAGCGCAAGCGTTAACCAAAACGCAAAAGATTAGTTAGATTAGCGTTTATAATTATTTTAGTGTTGTTCACTCTATCCATTGCTTTGCAGCGACTGACAGTGACGTCATAAAGCTGTATGATTTGACATCAATTTGTCAGCAGGTACGGAATTTACATGGATTGTTACCCTGTTATTACAAAAATGGAAATAAAATTTATTTCTCTTTAGCAGAACGCTTGAAACGGGGAGTTGGGATGCCAGTCAACCATAAAATTATCCTTAAACTGAAGTCGACAAGACTTGCATTAATGGTTCTCGGAGTACTTCCTTTTTTCTTGAATACTTTTTTACCTCGTTTACCCTCCCCTAGCATTTCTTATTCCATCTTATACTCTGCGAAGCCAAAGGTCGCTTTTTCAACAAACCATTTGTTACCCAATGTATATTTTGAAGAGGGATTGAAATATTTGTTAGTTTTGTTAGTCAATGATGTTTGAACGCTTCTTAACTTTTTACCAGGTCGCCTGATTTAATTCACTAATGCATGTTTCATGGTGTTCTGACATCAACATGTGTGACTGTGTTTTTTCACCTTTCTCTGAATGCACAGCGAACAGACGATAAGACGGAGAACTTGTTTACTGTGCCAGTGGCTATGCTGTTCTACCGGTCAGTATAACCTAATCATTTTCTTAGCCGACCAAAACATTATCCTTACGATAAGTGCTGTTCTGCTGGAAGGCGTTATTGTCAAATTTAACTTTAAATTTTCCGACCGTACTTATTCGGAAAGCCTCATGAAGGGTAGGGAAGAGATTCGTTGGGGGTCTGGCTCGTGTTGCTCAAGGCCTTATTCTTTCCCGCGGCATAATAAACGCTGGTACCGAAGCGCTGATAAGAGGGCATGTTCGCAAGCCACGTTGTGGTGGATGTGGAGCTGGGAAAGAGGCGGGAAAGAACGCCTTGCGTCACAAGACCAAAACAACGTCTTCGAAGGGGACCACTCGCATTAATGGTTTATTAGATTGTCCTCCTGAATATTGTTAGGTGTAGTTATTGATCGATGGGCTTTTTTAATCATCAGAGTTGCTAAAAATATGATGAATCAGTCACCACTGAGTTCTGGGTAAGTGAGGTACAAGAACGTAGTACTTGTTACAACAATAACCCACGTCTGATATGTTTCAACGACAGCAAGGGGCACTGGGCCGTTTGTATCAAATCGAGGCTCATTGGCTCTCGTTCTCAGGTTCTCTCTTCCAACTCTGGAGCGAGGGAAGAGCGGGAAGAATAAAGAGTATCATAACGAGTTTGTCTCACCGGTAGACTTTTGCGTGAAATGAATGGGATCAAGGAAACTAGCTCTCGTCGGATATTCTTGACTTTTATTGAGTTCCCACCAGAAAAGATCTTGCGAATAGACAGCAATTAAATGAACGAGTTTGTGATTTCATTCTATTTATTCTGAGAAGTTTACCTGTGAACCACAAATTCGTGAACCAGACCCAATTCAAGCATAGAGGGGGCAAGACGTTTACCAATATCCATCGCGCACTCCCTGAGTCTCTTCTTAAGGAAGATAAGTTACGACAGTTCGATTGGGAGTGATCCTTATGTGTCTGTTGCTAGTGAATAATACTCTGACTACTTGGACGAACGGAAGACATCATCGGAATCAAAGGAAGAATTGCATGTTAGTGTTGAGTTTGAATGATGAAATCTAATTTATCGATCACGTTGGCTCGGACGTCAGCATTCATTCAAGCGATCGGGGTAAAGTTTGATCCGTAACTTGGGAGACTTATCTGAATGTTTAAGTTCTTTCCTTCATTGGTTTCCATTACTTGTCATTTCAGGGAACAGTCAACGGTTCGCCAGCTTATAAATAACTGTCTCCTTCTGTTGGACAATGAAACTTATCCCGAGGTAATCTATTTTCACCCATCTTTATTCTGAGCCTCTTCTAAGCAAATAGAGATCCTTGACTATGCTCTCTACTGTTGTAAAGCACGCAGGAAGCGGCTAGAGCACGAATGGAGTGTACGAAGAAACACTCGACAACGTCTCGTGTTTCTCCCTACTTCTTGAGTGCTCTAGCTTCTCCTTAAATGCTTTACAACAAAACAGAGCACAGTCAAGGCTTCTATTTATCTTGTAACAAAGAATCCGTTAAATTCCCCACGCTTTACTTTCAATTTTCAAAACAAACTTTATTTCCAAAGCGAACAACAGTGTTGTCAGCATGCTCTATTTAACAATTATTCACCGAGGGCGAGGTGAATATCGTCGAATAATCGACAATATTCACCGAACCTGAGGCGAATAATTGTTTTAGTATAATTTCAGAGCTGAACAACAGAGAAATTTCTAAAATCATAACTTTTATTAACATTTTATTTTAACATTTTATATATAAACCGCGTAGAGCACTTTATATAGTGTCATATAAGGAACTGCTCGACCAATCATATTGCTGGAAACTCTTTGCTCAGCTCTGAAATTATACTAATTACTTGTATTAACTTAAACAGTCATACAATACCATGTAACATACTGCATTTATAGGATGCTAGCTTTGAACGCAAGAAGAAGAAGAAGGATCAGGCAAAACTTAGACACATATTTTCAAAGTTCCTTCATTACAGGTACAGTCCATATCCTTTAAAGCATTTCCCTTAAAATATGAAGTGTATGGAAATATTTTTGAACAACCAACCTGAAAAGGGTTTTCAATCACAAGTTAGAGGAACTGCTATATTTTCTATGTAGAGAAATGCAGGAGAATGGTTCCTTGGAGAATTTTGAAATTAAAGATTGGTTTAAATTGGATTTCCTTGATTAGTGGCAAAAAAAATTCCTTTGTTGGGATAAATATGTTCTATGTTTGTTTGATTTATTTATTTTAAAAATATACTTTTACCATTTGAAATGGAAACAAATGGGAGCAGTGCTTACATTTTGAAACTTGAGGGACCTCTTCAGCTGATGCAGATGATTTTTGAAAGGAAAATTTTTACCTTCAGTGTTTCATGAAGTATTAATGAAACAGCAAAGAAGAGATTTGTTTTTGTCTATTTATTTAAATCTCAGTTGAGTATTAGTGAAGAGTTTTTTCTGTCATGTGATAGCTCCTTTAATTAGACTGGACTGTGGAAAAAAAGCCTGCAAGCAGGCCATCATTATTAGTGTTTCAGCACAAAAATTTCTTTACTTGTGGTATGTGAGACATTTAGCAATGTGACCCCAAGCAAAATTTTCAATGAGTTCTCTTAAATCTTCCCACGGGCAGAAAATGCGAGTCTTGCAGTGCTGATAATGAAGGCCTGCTTGCAGGCTAGGGGAGATACTGTTTGTTTTTTAATTGATTTGTCAGGTGATCAGCAAGTGTAAGATATGGCATAGTGTAGAACCTTGTTCTGTATTGGTGACGGTATTCATGGATCCA